GGATGCATTTGTTGTCCCCGCCGTTCAGGACCAAATGGGGTCCGTGGGGCGGTCTGGCGTGCGACGACATCCACCCGGCGAAAAGTAGACACGAGACTGCGCTGGGTACCTGGAGACAAGTAATTCATTATCTATGTAAGAAAGATATTAACTGTGTTTGGCGCTTAACGTTCCAACCCAAATTGATAACATGCGCAGGTTACTGTGGAAATAGACATAGGCTTAAGAATCAATTTGCCGCCTTCAGAGTTTGTCGTAGCCGGTTGGGCCTTGCGTCAAGTTAGCGTTAGCTTTAGCGGCTCAGGCCTTTTAATTGTACTTAGCTACCGCTATTAACTTAGCTAGAAGGCTAACACAGTCAACGGCCAGTTTATCAAAATGTATGTGTTGTCTCTGGTATCTGATATTTTGATTTAATTCACTAATTTTGTTGTCGGGGTACTGAGGTCGTCTAATCACCAAAAGTGATATTTACCCTTAATGATAGGGTACCAGCAACCGTTAGCTGCTAACAGCTGGGCTAACATGATGTTAAGAGCCCAGCGTGCAACCAGGTGGGACTGAAAACAACCAAAAAAAGCGGTCTTGGATTTTATATATGTATTACCACCATCATCACGCTGTTCAGGCTAAACCACAGACATGTTCAGTTTTTTCTAACTGTAGTTCTTTCTTAAAATCAGCTGTAAGCTGAACTAACACCGGCACATTTGTACACTGCTTGACCGGCAAGTGTTTTACTCCTAATCTAAGTGATTAGTCATTTTTAACCTGATTCATAGTCTGATCATATTTTATTGCTATAAAAGGTTTTTCGCAACTGAGAATCTGGGTATAGTAATGTTTTCCTGACATTACATGGTATTATTAGAGAGTAAGCTAGCTGATCTTTGTGTCTATTTTCTCCTTTATTTCCAACCCTTGAAAAGCTTTGCACAACCATGCCATCCGACTTAGCCAAGAAGAAAGCAGCAAAGAAGAAGGAGGCTGCCAAAGCCCGTCAACGTACCAAGAAACCTGATGAGGTAAATGGGGAGAGTGAACAACCAGACACTCAGCCTAACGGAGCAGAGAGCAACGGTGAGAGGAGGACTAATATTTTAATAAATATCATTATAGATTAAACTGTCTTTCCTGAGATAACACTGGTATAGGTGTAATGTATCTTTAGCGTCAGAACTGTCTATAATTTAGCTTGTCAGGAGTGTAAAATATTTAACAGGATTTTGTTTTAACAGGGGTCTCCAGTTTGACAAAGGAGTTGGATGAGTTTGAACTGCGGAAAACAGAAGCACGGGCAGTGACAGGTGTTCTGGCCTCGCACCCCAACAGCACTGATGTCCACATTAGCAGCCTGTCACTTACCTTCCACGGTCAAGAGCTACTATCAGACACCAGCTTGGAGCTCAACTCAGGCAGACGCTACGGTCTCATTGGCCTTAATGGCACAGGTAAGTGGTTCCTCTTATCACAAGATATTGCCAATAAGAAGCATTTACATTGCCAATACTTGATGTAGCTACAACACAGAACAACATGGAGTACATCAAGACGATACATATTTGCTTATTGGCAGCAGTTTCTATCAGTAGAAATGCAATGGATGTTGTAAACAATGAATTTTTAATGTCCCATAATACAACAAATGATTTTTTTTCTCTCTGCTTTTAATCTGCCAGGAAAATCCATGCTGCTGTCAGCAATCGGGCATCGTGAGATTCCTATTCCAGAGCACATAGATATTTACCACTTGACCCGGGAAATGGCCCCCAGCGAAAAGACGGCTCTGCAGTGTGTCATGGAGGTTGATGAACAGAGGATAATGTTGGAGAAGGAAGCAGAGAGACTTGCCCATGAGGACTGTGAGTTCTGTGCTATAACTGCAGAGGGGAAACATAGACAACACAGACACTAGTTTGAGTAAAGCTGACTCGAGCAAACAGACATGCAGCGAAGAAAATTATTTTCCTCTTACACACAGTTTTGTTGTTGTATCAGTTGAAATTAACTGTTTATTTCTCTTACCCCTGCGTAGCTGAGTGTGAGAAGCTGATGGAGCTGTATGAGCGTCTGGAGGAGCTGGATGCAGACAAAGCAGAGATGCGAGCCTCGCGAATCCTCCACGGTTTGGGTTTCAGCGCTGCTATGCAGCAGAAAAAACTGAAGGACTTCAGTGGAGGATGGAGGATGCGCGTTGCTCTAGCCAGGTAAAAGACTTGGTGCTACACCACTCACTGACATTGTGTATTAGCCACTTTGTACTAAGTGCAGCTAAATTATGGCAGAACTGCTTCTTGAACAAACTTCATCTCAGAAAGTTCATGTTTTGAGGTCAAAAAACTAGTAAAACTGAAAGTGTGGAAGCTAATAAAGTTGGCCCTCACACAAAAGGAAATGCCTGTGGAGGAGAAGTAGCCCATGTTTGGATACAGTTTAGTTACCTGTTTGAAGAGAAGTGTGAAATTAAGAGTTTTTACATGTGCAGACTAGGCTTGGGTACCAAACTTTTAACATGCTTTATTGGTACTGACCAAATCACGTGAGTACTACAAATACCGATTCACATTCAGTCAATCTGTGCCAAATTTCAGTACCCAGGCTAGAAGCACACCTGTGAGAGAGAGAGTAAAGTATACATAGAGAGCGAGTGAGCGAGACCATGTGACATCACTTTGCAAGCATAACACGCAGTGCTGGAGAGAACTGGGCTTTCCCCCCACCCACTGTGTTGGTTGACAATAACTTTACATTTTTACTGGCATCAGTCTGAGCCACTGGCTACATCGAATTTCCTTACCAGCAAGAAATTTAGGGTAAACAGACATTAACATTTTGAAAGTTTTTTTTTTTTTTTTTTAATTTGTATTTAGGTTTTTCCCCCAACCACTGAAATGACAGTATTGGTTCAAATGCGATGGGTACCCAACTCTAATACAGACAAAAGTAGTTTCACAATGACAGGTTTCTTCTAACTTAAATTTTAATAACTATCCATTACTTTTGCAGAGCCTTGTTCATCAAGCCCTTCATGTTGTTGCTGGATGAGCCCACTAACCACTTAGACCTGGATGCTTGTGTGTGGCTGGAAGAGGAGCTCAAGTCGTAAGTTAACCCTGTGCATGGACAGTTGTATACATATCATGTACGCATAGAGATGTGTATTGATCATCCTAATGGTTCTTAAGGTAATCCTTTATTGTCATTAACAGATTCAAACGAATCCTTGTGCTCATCTCACACTCTCAAGACTTCCTGAACGGCGTGTGCACAAACATCATCCACCTCCATCAGAGAAAACTGAAATACTACACGGTAAGAACGCTTGGCTGAAACCATTAATGGTACCTTAAAGCAAAATTCAGAAACACAGTGCCAGAAAGGAAAACGGCCTTAGCCTCCCTTGGAAAGTCTTATGCCATATGTGACTTGATGACACTAAATAAGGAACCTGGGAGTAGGCTGTTACCAATGTGTTGGATGACCATGCAAATCTATTTTTATTATAAGGGTAACTATGACCAGTATGTGAAGACCAGAGAGGAGCTGGAAGAGAACCAGATGAAGCGTTTCAACTGGGAACAGGACCAGATTGCACACATGAAGGTAAATGAGGAATGTCATGTTGTGTCAAACAATGTTAGGAGTTTTCCCCAAGGAAGCTCATTTGAGATTGGGTTTGGACTTGGTAAACTGCTATGCATTCCCTCATTTTCAGGTAGTAGCCATCCTTAGGTTTTCATTGAAAAGACATTTTCTAGTGCAAATAAATTGTCAGCTACCCTGCATATATACCTCTCTATCATAAAAAGAAATACTTTGATGAAAGCATTAACCTTAGTCCAAAGTAGTAGCGGTGCCATTTGACACAGCAAAAGGCGTAATATTTAGTGTGACTAATGTTTGAGCCATTATTTACTAATTACTAATTGTGTGTTGGGGTCTGAGTGGTTTACCCTTTAAACTACAATTTTTCTTTTTGAGTTCTGAGCAGTCAGATGCTTTTCAGTTTCTCTAGTCAGTCACGCTGTTTGTTATTGCAGAATCCAGACTTGTGCTTATTGTTTGTATTTCTCTCTTCCAGAATTACATAGCCAGGTTTGGTCACGGCTCTGCAAAACTTGCACGACAGGCACAGAGCAAAGAGAAGACGCTGCAGAAGATGGTGGCATCTGGCTTGACTGAACGAGTTGTGAATGACAAGGTAGTGGCTTACTGACAGGCTTATAACAGTGCTTTTGGAAACTAATGATGGCATGATGTCCAAGCATTGGTTTTGAGTTACCACATACTGTACATTTACTCATGATACTAATACCTCCCTCTGTCTCCACAGACTCTGTCATTTTATTTTCCTCCCTGTGGGAAGATTCCTCCACCTGTTATCATGGTTCAGAACGTGAGCTTCAAGTACAGTGACACCACAGTGAGTGTTGATAATGCTGTAACATGGACAAAGCTTTGTTCACTGGAATATATATATTTTTTTCTCACTTATTTGTTCATGTTTCTTGTAGCCGCACATATATAAAAACCTGGAGTTTGGTATTGATTTGGATACACGAGTGGCTCTGGTGGGGCCCAATGGAGCAGGGAAGTCCACACTGCTGAAGCTGCTGATGGGAGAGGTAGATAAATTTAAGTTCCAAAATGTCTCACAAAAACTTGCTGTTTTGTTGAGTGTTAAAGTTTGATCTTTTTGGTGTAGCTCCTACCCACCGACGGCATGATCCGCAAACATTCTCACGTCAAGATTGGCAGATATCACCAGGTAAACCCTGAACTGTTGATGGCAGCTTAGGAATGCCTGCATATTTCAAAAATACTGTGCATGGATGCCCATAGCACTTAATATTGTGTGCAGAAATTGTGCATATATTTACTAAAAATGTCTTCTATGCATCTATTTGCCTATGTTACAGCATCTGACAGAGCAGCTGGAGCTGGACCTCTCTCCTCTGGAGTATATGATGAAGTGTTTCCCTGAGATCAAAGAGAAGGAAGAGATGAGGAAGATCATTGGTCGCTATGGCCTGACGGGAAAACAACAGGTGTGATTGTGATACTTTTCCAGTATGCACAAAGTAAAGCAAAGAGCAAAATTAACTTGGCACATTGTACTTATGCTTGAAATTTCTTGCAGGTCAGTCCAATCAGGAATCTGTCAGATGGTCAGAAGTGCCGGGTGTGTTTTGCTTGGCTGGCCTGGCAGAACCCTCACATGCTGTTTCTTGATGAGCCCACCAATCACCTGGATATCGAGACTATTGACGCACTGGCAGAAGCAATCACTGAGTTTGAGGGTGGCATGATGCTGGTTAGCCACGACTTCAGGCTAATTCAACAGGTACATATAATTAGATGAAGCTGTTTGAATTGAAACAGCTGGCATTCATAGGATTTAACTGAAGCAGTTGGCACCATTGTGATCATTGCTTCTCTCCTCAGGTGACGCAAGAGATCTGGGTGTGCGAGAATCAAACCATCACAAAGTGGAATAGGGACATCCTGGCATATAAGGAGCACTTGAAATCAAAGATTGAAAAGCAGCAAGCGCATGATATCTAGAGTGACATCATTGTAAGCCACTTTTTTTTTTTTTGCATCATGGATTTGACCTGCGAGCTCCTTGAGGGACGTGCAGGGTTTGCATTGCAGGAAGTGCCCTGAGTAGAACTGAAACTATCACTTATGCATCTTATTGGAAACGTCTCTTGTACATGTTGTACTGTATTTCCATCTTGATTTGACAGTGTTGCACCATGCTGAAGTCAACCCGGCTCCTTCTCACCTTCACCTCAGCCTGCACTCTGATTGGCTGGTTCACCTGAAGCATCTCAGTATGTTTTGGAATGCATTCCATTGTGAGATCTTTAAAGCAAAAGTTTTATTTTTCCAAATATTTTAATTCCAACACGTATGCTGCAGCTTTAGGTTGTATTTAAAAGTTGACCTTTTTTTCATGTAAAAGAACGGTTCTGCCTTAAGGTGCAGTCATTGAAATTTGATTCCCATTCATTTCAGTGTGAAACAGGGTGAGATATATTTGCTTTCGATTGGAATCTAACTCTGATTGAGCCAGTTGCAGTTTGGCCAGCAAAATTGCAAATTTCTTTAAATGCCCAGTCTGTTTGAGAGAGGCTGGGACTGGCCTTTCACTCAGAAAACAATGTTTATATTCTTGATTTTATAACTGCACAGCAAAATAATCCAAGCAGCGTGCCCCTGTCCTCACACTCACTGCAGTCCAAAAGCATCCCCCCTCTGCTGCTTGCATCATTTTACCCTCACATATAAAATGAGAACATAAACATTTTCGTTTAGTGAAGGAGAGGTCATTCCTACCCTACACCACCTTCAAAAGAGCTGGACATAGGAGAACCTTGTGATTTTATGGGTTCAGCCAGAGTGAACTGTGGAGTGAAGCAGAGGAATCAAACAGAAGCCGATGTGTTACTCAACATTTCACATACACATGAATGGGAAGTGAATTTAAGTGCAACTACATCTTGATAGAAAAATGTAATGCAATAAAGATTTGTCTGAATAAAGAAAACAAAAGTAGCATATTTCAAGTAAGAACACTTTATTCTTCATTTTAAATGTAATACCGTGCTTTAAAAAGCTTTTGGGGAAAATAAACCATTTTACATCTCTATAGACACAATAGGACAAAACTTGAAGTGATAAGATTCTGCTTTGGCAATCCATCAACTGAGGCCAGTGCATTTCTAGGAAACTGTTAAAAGAACATTTTTAGGTGACCTTTATGGGATGCTGAAATTAATCCATGAAAATGTAGTGTTTGGCATTTTTATGTCTTCAACTAGCAGCAAAACCCCCAAAGCTTCTGGTGAATCTAAAGTCAAACTGACAACCTGACTTTCTTCTGGACCAACAAACAGATGAACATCAACTGATACCCTTATTACACTTTTGCAATTTGTCAGTGTAGGCTCAGCTTCAAACGTCTTAAGTCGAGGTTAACCTGTAGTTACCTTGGATAGCTGACATCACTGCAACTGTGTTGCATACTAACATTTAATAGCATCAAATATTCAAGCTATTTCTCAACGAGATAAAAAAATTGACCTAACTATAATAAACAAAGTTGACGTGAACAATTTTTCCAGCTGGTAAATTATTGTTCTGGCAAAGACAATATAACCTACACAGGATTCAGTGTTGGTTCCAACACTGGGTGACTAAATGATGACTGAAAGTCAGCCATCCAAAACATTTAACTACTTTTGTTTGAAATGACAACTTGTTACTTAGAATTTCATTTAATCCTATTGGCCAAGTTAAGGTTTAGTGACTCCACTACAATACTGATTTCTGGCAATCTGCTCCACAAGTGTCAACCAGGAGAAACAATGTTCTCACCAACCTATAAGGCTGCACATAAAGATTGAAAGATAAAAAGCCTGTCAGGTGGAATTTGTCTACAGCGCAAGTGAATCAATACTGATTGATTCTATATGGTACCTACCCAAACATTTGGACACACCATCTCCTTCAGTGGGTTTTCTCTAATTGTGCTATTTTATACATTGTAGATTAGTTTAACTCGTTAATTTTTTAACCTTTTGTTCTCATTGAAAAATTTGTTTTGAATGTATAAAAATATTTTCAAAGCTTAACTGCTCAAAACAATGACGCCCATTCTCATAGTGTGTGCTTTAAGTTATAATTCTGCATATCACACTTCTTTAAATTGCTCATTAGGCAGGGGTCGCTTCCACAATATGTCTGATGTCGTACATTGTGCTCCTATGTACCAGTGAAGTAAAATTTAAGCAAAATGTACTTGTGAATGTAGGGGGACTATTTAAGGTATCAGCTCAGCGTGTTCATTAAAAGGTTAGTGGCACTAGCTGCAGTGGAAACAGTGCAACTAAGAGCAGTGTTTCAGTTGTGCAATTTCCAAATGCTCCTGGCAGCAGCATGTTTCATGGGCTAAAGCAGGGGTGGCCAATTCCAGTCCTCGAGGGCCGCTGTCCTACTTGTTTTCCAACTATCCCTGTCTGACCTGCTGCTGATTACCTGGCTCAGGTGTGTTCAGCCAGTCAGAAGCTGGAAGATACCATCTTAGATGAAAGTGGAGTGAGGAAAGATAAAGTGAATTGGTATCTTCCAGCTTCTGACTGGCTGAACACACCTGAGCCAGGTAATCAGCAGCAGGTCAGGCAGGGATAGTTGGAAAACAAGTAGGACAGTGGCTCTCGAGGACTGGAATTGGCTTCCCCTGGGCTAAAGCAATCAGAGGTGTGTGCCAAGTGAAGGTATTGAAGCTCACTGGCCTTCCCACTCCTCATCTGACACCTCATCAGGAGGAATGGTGCGAATGTTGCTGGCCCGAATGCTGCTGATAGTGGTGAAAGAGAGGAGGTTTGCAATACCCGCCAGAGTCACACCAGTACCGTCCAGATTTACCTGAGCCAGATGCATGAGTTTCAGATGCTTAAGACCTGAGGAAAAAGTATGAAAAACATATTGATGTTCTTTCAAGCAACCAAAAGATTACATTTGTCTGTCAAGCCCTATGCCCCTTTCAGACATGGTACCTGTGACTTTGTGGGCTACATGTAGCCATCTAGCAGTTGCTTTTTTTTTTTTTGTAGTGATTACATATTGAGCTGCTGTGCACAAAATTCCCAGCAGGGCTTTGTTAAACATACCAGGGCCTGGCAGGGTACAACTACAATGTTCATGCTATATCCAACATCACGTGAGACAAGAATAAAGCAACACTGAAAGTTATGAATAATATACAGGCTGTCCAAAGCAACACAGTGTTCAACAAGTTTATCTTCATGGTATTGGTTTATAAGATGTTTTCCAAAGATGGTTATGTTTTTCAGAAACTGTATCTTCTCTGTACCAGTTCAATATAAACATTGTATCAGCGCACACTTTAGATGTGTCATGTCCAACTCAACTAATTTAAACACTGTGCGCAAGTATGTCTTGCGTAGCACTCATCATCCCGTGTGTGCCCTTACTGGCAATTTGTCAGTTCAGACATGTAGCTGGTTAGAATGTAGCCAGCTATTTGACCAAGTTTGACCACGTAAAACTGCCAGTGACTCGGGGCTTTGTTCAGACATGATGCCTAGATGTGAAATAACACGCAAATTGTAGAGGCGCATGTCTGAAAGGGGCTTTAGTGAGTTTGCTATGTGATCTTACCATTGTCTGTGATCCGCGTGCGGCTAAGATTAAGTTTAACAAGCTGAGTGCAGCGGATCAGACCTCTCCTCACTACCGTGTCTCCCACCTGCGTGCTGGCTAATCCCAACACCTAAAGACAGAAAATTAACTACTAGATATCAGCACAATATCATTCATGCTAAGAAATACCTGAATTTATTTAAACCTTACTGGCAAACATTTTATGTTTGTATCAAGGGTTAGGTGTTAAGACTAAATACAACTATAAAATACCAGGCTAACCCAGAGATGAAATGAAATCAGTGTTAAATATGAAAATACGAGTTAACTTAGGGACATCACTGCATCAACATCAACATGCCACACCTGTACAACACCTAACATTTCTAAAATTACATTAAAATCGTGAGAATACACAGTGAAATCACCTGGAGATGCGGTAGACAGGCAATGAGTTCAGCCACTCCGTTGCTAGTGACTGCTGTTCGGTCCAGACACAACTCCTGCAGCTCCCGCAGGCCACACAGAGAGGGAAGCCCCACGTCAGTCACCTGAGTGTTGCCAAGTGACAGCTTCTTCAGCCTACACAGAAAATACCCTTGTCAATAAACCTGCCCTAATCATACTGAAACAACTGTTTGCTTTGTAATGTGTAAGGTAGAACAGTATTGTACACTACAGTATACCAGTAATAAACCATGGGAATGACCTAGTCATACTGCAGAGCTGTTTGACTCCCTGGTCTGTGACTTGTGTGTAGTCTGTCAAGTCCAGCTCTGAGAGCAGAGACAGACCAGAGAGGAATGACAACCCACTGTCATTCACAGAGTGGCGTCCAGGGAGGGTGAGGTGAGTCAACTTTAGACCTGGGAGGAAAGACAAAACATCACTATTAGGCCTTTTCCACTGTATGAACCTGTACCAGAACGTATACCCCTTGTCACAGATTCTGCTTTTGTTTCCGCTGCCGTCTGCCTGCTTTGGAGGCAAGTTCCTGGGTTTAAATTTTGGCACCCCTCAGGAGGTAGTACAAAATCAAGTTCGGTTTGGAGGTAAAACATGGACTTTAGCAAGTTGACCGCGGGCAAAGTAGCAAAGGCATCACATTTCTGCAAGTTCTTTTTGTTCAACAGCTGTTTGATAAACTGCTCATACCACTTTGTTTTACTTTGTCTGCTCATTTTTAAGGGATCCTTCCCACTTACAGACCTGAGATGATCTGCAGAGCGTGATTGCCATCAACTACAGGGATTCCTGCCAAACTAAGGGAAGACAGCGCAGGGAGGGTGGCAAGGTACTTCAGTGACCTCTCTGCCACATCTGTCCCATCCAGGTTGAGAGTCTGCAGGCTGGACAACTCTGCCAAAGCTGAAATGTCCTCAACCTGGAAATGTCGTGAGAGAACCACTGATGCACAGTATTCATAACTAACTTATGTAAGTTAAACAGAAGGCTGAGACAACAAAAGATGGTATCGACTGTGCCGTTACAGTTGAAATACCTTCGTCTGCTTAATGCTGAGAAGTCGCAGGTGTGGCACGCAGGTGGGAAGGACTACCAGTGTAGCTTCAGTGACTGCAGTCTGGTTTAAGCTGAGCTGAGACAAGCAGGGTGGAACTGACTGGAGATACAGCACCATCCCAGCATCGGTCACTTTGGTACGGTCAAGAGACAGGAAACACAGACTCTTCAAACCTTAAACACAGAGAAACAAGAAAATATTTTGATATACGAGAACACAATAATGACAAAACCCATTTAACACTGAATAAAAGAACTTAACACTGAGCATCTTATGTT